CATCGGAGACATGGTCGCTGGCAAGTCCGATTCGTTCCAGATCGGTTTCGGCAAGATCCTCTCATTCGACGGCGGCGACGACCAGCGCGAAGTGTCCAAGGAGGCCAGGAGATCGACCGACGCCAGAAGCAGCCTGCTGAAGGCCTCTCCGAGCTCTCGAAGCGGCTCTACTCGGAGGCCTCGGACCAGGCCAGATCTATGCGTGACCAACATGCTCAGCACCGCGCTCGATTGGGCAAGAAACTCGAAGGACAAGCTGGAGCTGCCGCGGCTCCTGCTGCTCCCGCCGACGGAGGCTCAGCGAATGGCGGCGCTCAGCCAAGCGCAGGGGCTTCCACAGCTACTGGTTCTTCCGCGTCGGACTCGACTGCTGAGCCGACATCTGAGGCCGCCCTTCTCTCATCACCCAAGGATAGGGTTTCAAAGCTTCAGTAGAAGGTCGCCGCCCACCCCCCTCTTCCCCCGCTCGCAGCAGCGATGGGGGGAACTTCCCAGTTGCATAGTTCAGCCACCCAGCGGGCCCCGAACCTCCACGCACACACACACACACACCACCACCACCACCACCACCACCACCACCACCACCACTACCACCACTACCACCACCACCACCACCACCACCACCACCACCACCACCACCACCACCACCACCCCCACCCACCCCTCCCCATCACCAACACTTGAAGGTTCTCACTCTACACGGTAATGCGCAGTCGTCCATGAAAGACTGGCCCCCCACGTGCGACGCTCACACCATCCTGATTCAGGGGCGCGAGCTTCCCGATTGAGACCCCGCCGACATGGCCTCCGTCTGGTGCCTGAACCACGGTTCCAAATCTGGTTGGGCCCCTGCTTTCGTGGGCCTTGGGGCGGGGGGCGCGTGTCTTGCGGTGCTGCGATCCTTGCTAGATCTTGGCCAGGTATTCATCTTCCGCCAGATCTTGGCCAGCGGGCTTTCTGGGGGTCAGCCCCTCCTCACCCCCTCCATCTACTTACGTGGTAGTGAAGGCTTTTCAGGTGCCAATCTCGAGATCCCATCGGCCGCGGGTTCCTACACGGCGATCTCTGGCATGCCATTTCTTGGGCGGGGATTTCAACATGGAGCCCAGCAGCCTCCAGCAGGCCGAGTTCCCCCAAAATATGCGAGGTCAAGATGCGGCTACACCTAGTGCCACGTGCCATGGTAGTGGCGGCCCGCGGCTCCACGACTACGATGCGTTGCCTGGCGGCCTCTCTCAGGCCGCTAGCTTGGTTGCTCTGATCGATGCGACCTTCCGCCCCCGCGCGCCTGTCCAGGTCTGTTCCCGCGCCAGCCTGGCCGATCTGCGCGCCCTCGCCTTTCGGGCGCCCCTCCGATCCCTGTGGACGCTCCGATCGGCCCCGCCCCGCGCCCCCCGTCGCACGGCCCCTGTTCGACGCGGCTCAGGAAAGCCCCCCAGCTCGCGCGCGCTGGCCTGTCCGACGCGCTCGGTTCTCCACTGCCCATGGCCTTCAAAATCTGGGCCAACGCCGTAGAACATGAACTCTGCACGACTACGGGCACACCTACGCCTTACTACGGAGCAAGGGGCAAGGGCCTGACACGCGGCGGCGCCCCTTGCTGGGGCGCGACCGCGGATCGGCCCGTCACCCTGCGCTCCACAGTGCGAGATGGTTATCTTTTGCGTTCAAGGCCTTCTCCTCGTCCTATGACTACGTTGCTGGGGATTCGCCTGATCACATCGCCGAGAAGGGCTCGACTTCTGTCTTCGCCGCCCAACTTCATTCTGATGAACCAAGGTGAGTTCCCAGATGCTGCTCAAGCGGAAGCGGCTTTCGACTCTCGCTGGCTCGGCGGAGGTTGCGCCGCTGATCGCGACCACGATGGAGTTGACGCCGCCGAGCAGTGCACTTCTCAGGATTTGGCGAAGTGCAATGATAAATGCAAGCAGATGCCTCCTACGGACTGGGCAGCGCGGTTGAATGAAGGCATTCATCAGGTTGCCAGGCGCGTTCACCAGATTACTCGCGACCCTGCTGCGCAGCGCCTCACGCCCACGCGCAGCCGTTCTGGGAACATCGTTGCGGGCCCGCAGGAGCTCCTGAGAGCTGAACCCAAGCGATTTGGGAACCTTTGGAACGCCCCCCCCCCCCCCCTGCCCCCCAAAACGCGCCGCGGAGATCCTGGGCCCTCTCCCCCTCTTATGTATCGACTAGATTCGTTATGTTTCCAGGTCCTATTCACGTCGTTCGGCCGTTGCTCTCGACGGCTTGCACATGCGTAACTTTCAGTATATGTCGGATGAGGCCTTGACTGCCCCCGCCGCGCTGCTGCAGGTGGTCGAAATTAGCGCGATGCTTCCTCAGCAACTCGGAGCTTTCATCGCTGCCTTTTTCCTGTAAAAAAGGCCCCTGGATGCCGACCGAACGGCGTTGTTCCATTCATGTTCGGCTGCGGGGAAAACTCCGTCGCCCGCGGGCACTCGAATGGGAAACCCAGAATGATCGGCCTTACTGGGCCGCAGGCAAGCAGCGTTCGGTCACCGACTTTGTCTGGCGCCAGGGTGCTCGAGCCGAGACCGGCACTTCAGCTGGCGAGCGCGCGGCGTCCATTTTCTTGGACACTCTGAAGTTCTACGAGCAGGTACCCCTGCATCTGCTCGAGGCGGGGTGTCAACGGCACAGCTTCCACCCGACTCTCATCGGGGTCTGCCTTGCCGCTTATCGATCGAGTCGGTTTCACGTTCTGGGCGGGGTCGTCGCTCCTGGGGTTTCGCCGGCACCGGCTTGGTCGCTGGATGGCCACCGGCCTCATCCGCGCGTTTGGGATCGATGTGCATGACACCCTCTCGCTTCCCCCCTCGGTTTTGCTCGATGTGCACATCGATGACAGCAGCCTGGGCGGAGTAGAAAAGATTGAGCCCCTGGTCGCTGATATGATCAGCGCTGCCGGCCAGCCCGAACAGGTTATCTCTTGCACGATGAAAGCTCACATTGCCCTTGATAAAGTGGGTATGGTTATCAGCAGTCAGGTGATTTCCAGTAGGTTCCCGGAGGCCTTTGGAGATCTCGCGGGCCCCCACCACGAGACGATTGTGAATCTCGGTCACGACCACGCTACCGGCACCCCCCGCCGCGTCCGTGAACGCAACGCCAAGACTTAGGCTCGATTGCTGATCGCCACGCGCCGCGCGAGGAGAGTCGCGCGGCAGCGAGGCTCCATTGGCAGGCGTGCGACCAAGGCTTCTGCGTTGGAGTTTTTCCAGCTCTCCAGTACGGCGCGGACGTGCATGGCATGTATGATGGCGAGTTGCTGCAAGTTTGGCGTCTCGCGGCATCCACCATGAAGCCGTCTTCCGGCGGCCGCTCTCTGTGCACCCGCTCTTGCGTTGAAGGGGATCCAGCGTGGCATGGGTTTGTCGCGCCTCTTCCCCGCGACCACACAGAATTATGGCGCTTGCGCACCCGTTTGACGGAGCGCACCATGACCTGGGCCCAACTGAGAAGGCTGGGAGATCGCCTGGGAGAAACTTCCGCGGACCTGGAGCTCTGTCAAGGGGCCTCTCGGAGCCATGGGCCTCTCGGTGGCCGGGCTGGGATGACCATGGGAGACCCGCGCGCCCTGACCGACGACCGTGGAGTCGGCATCCTTCTCCTCGTCGCTCCCGCCCTCCTTAAACGACCGTGTAAATTTGCGATTTTCAGAGCTCTTGATTGTGAGGCTGGTGAGAAGCACGGCCATGGGTCCAGACTTTGTTTCGACGTTCTCTGTTCGGCTTTGAATTCGAAGCGTTTCTCGCGCAAACAGAAAGGCCCTAATTACTAGGACGCTCCCATGCCAGGGGCTTTGGCCATTGAGCCGAGCCTTGGCCCTTGGATAGACAGTCGATGACCGTTGTTCCCTTTGTGGGGCCGAGGACGATGCCATCATTCACCGTCTCTGGCAGTGCCCTTCTTGCGAATCTGAGCGTTCTGATCACATCAAGCCCGACTTGTTGAGCCGCGCCCGTCGCGAGCTGGAGGCCGGCGCCACACCTGAGTTTAAGGTCCTCTGCAAGATGGGCTCGTTCCCGCACCCGTCCTTTGAGGCCCCCTTCCCTCGCTCTGCCCAGGAGTCGCAGGATCCGGTTGTGTTTGAGGCCTTTCCCGAAGCTTTCGGGCCTCCCAGGTCCCCCCGAGGGGCTCGAGGAGAGTCGGGGGAAAACCTCTAAGGAGGGAGAGCAACACACAGACACAAGTAGTCGTCGATTCCCAGAGAATGTGGGAACTATGGGAAGTGAGGGGGGAAGACAGAAACCCAGAAAAGATGGGAAACTATGGGGGATCCTGTGATTTGTGTGTCTTCATTCGTGTGTCCCAGGGCCCCTTCAAGGGGTTCGAGGAGAGTCGGGGGAAAAAGACCTTCCTGGGCGGCCCTTGCTTCGGGCGCCCGGTCCGCGAGCTGTCTCGCTCTGGGCGGGGAACTGTCTGGCTTAGCGAGCTTGGGCAGCTCCTCGCCCGCATGCACGGCGCGGCTCGTCATGTGCAGTCGGGGCGCTGGAGAAGGAACCCTTCTCGTTGGGGAGGGGCTCGGCGTTCCTTGATTGTTTCACAGCTTGCCTCGGGTTTTCCTTCTTTTTTCGATCGGAAATCGAAGTCTAACTTATGGAAAGAAGGGGCCTCGTTCCTTATTTAAGGTTCCTTAGGTCAAGGCCCTGGCTGTATGCCCTCAGACGAGCGTGGCCGTTGAACGTGTCGCTCCGGCTGCCACCCCGTGCGTCCTCGAAGACATGGTTGAATTTCTCTCTGGTTGCAGAATTGTAGTCGATTGGTCCGCTTTGCCTCAGAGCGTGAACTACCTACCCCGCTTTCGCTTCCAGGCAAAACCAAGCCATACCACGCGCCTCCTCGTCAAGCGGCCTGACCAGTACAGGCTGCAATTTGGCATCGTTTGGTATCTCTTAGAAGCGAGGGTGGTCAAAAGCGAGGTAGGTTTGTTTTCCCCCTTATTGCCACTCGCTCAGAAGCTTTCCCCGAACAGACCATACAGTGGCCCGTCGTTGCAGCGCCCATCGCATGCGAATGGTCGGCTTGAGGGCGTTTCCAAAGTGAAAGTTCACCTTGAAGAAGATCCCAGCATGGACTGGGATGAGCGGCTAAAAGTTCGTGGGAACAGTTGCGCAGATGAGGCGGCGAAGGCTGGAGCTCGCCTTCACGCGCCTCTAGATGTCGGTTTCGCGGTGAATATGTCCTTTCTGGTGTCAGTTTCCCAGGCTGTCGCCAAGCTCGCCGCCCACTTGGACTTCTGGCACAGGACCAACCTGGACGGTGTGTTTTGGGAGCGTCCGTCTCCTTTGGGGTCTCCTAGGGACCTGGGTCTTGGGCACTCCTGGAGCTGTGTCAGCAAATTCTGGCAATGCAACGATTGCCTCAAGAGCTCTCGTTCTGTTTCAAAGCCTCCACCAGGGAGGTGCACTCGCAAGTTGAAGGTCTCGCCTAAGTCTCTCAGAGACTCAGGCCATCGATGCATCGTTGCTGATTGCAGCGACGGCAGTTTCATTGCCTTCTGCTAGCTGTGTTTCTTTGACACGTCTGGTGGTCAGACGCGAGGCCTGGGGGGCCTTTGTCAGGCGCGACCGGCCGCCCTTTCTCAGGCTGCGGGACCCTGCCGAAAAGAGCTGGTCCTCTCACAACGTTCGCAGCAGAGAATTGTGGTCCAAACTCAGCCAAGGGCTCCTCCCGAAGAGGAAAGGGGTCACAGTTGACTTGGACTGCATCGGAGTTCTCTAGTCCTCCTGATGCTCTTTGCCCGTGTTGACGGGTCCTTGGCTGTGGATGTCAAAATTCTTTTTTGTTCAGCCGCTTCACTGCCTTGCCCTCCCCTGCCCTTCCCCTCCTGCCGTCGCCTCTCATCTCGGGCCGGGCGAAAGGGGGGGATTGGGAAAGGGGGGGTTACAATTTTTGCTGCATGCAGCTGGTTTCGGCCTCATCGAGGGGCCCATTCCTCGATACATAGTCGCCTCCGGCGCCGGGAGGCGCCGGGAAAATCAGCTACGTGAGCTGATTTTCAAACCCCCCCTTTGCTATCCCCCCCTTTCGCCCGACCCGATCATCCCCCCTCTCCCCCGTCCCTTTTTGCCACTCTTTTTCCAGTGGCTCTCCCTTCACTGCTACATTCCAGGCAGCTGCGCAAATGATCCATAAGAATTGCTTTGTTGGGCTCCGCGGACGGGTGGCCGAGCACAGCGCCGCACACGAGCCGTAGCTCCGCGGACGGGTGCCCGAGCTACAGAGCCGCACACTAGCCCAACACCTCTCAATTCTCATCAATAGAAGCGTGCAGGCATACGTTGTGAGAGCGCAGACTGACTACTGGCAAAAGACAAGCCAGAACATCACTGCTGTGGACAGTTCACGTCGTCCGCAGGCGGAGCGATACCTTGCAGGCCGATCGCCTCGCCACGCCCTTGGACACAAGAATTTTGCCGATCGCGCTTCTGAATGAAGGATCTGCTCAGCTGGCTGCTGCCATCAACAGTGTACTGTGAAGAAATATCACGAATGTAATCCAAACGAGCTCGCTTGCGGAGAAACGGTTGTCTCGACGGGCTGGTCACAACCTTGCACTGTGAAGAAAAATCGCGGACGTAATCGAGACGAGCCCTCTTGTGAGAAAACGGTTGTCTCGACTGACCATCTGATCGCACTGAATATTGCAGTTCAATCTCACGGATATACCTGAGTTTCAGGACAGAGTGATGCACGGAGGGTACGGCTCCGATTGGCACGGAGGAGAATACCACCGCGCCGCACGAACATCGAACGCCCTCAAATGACGAATTCACGTCGATCGGGACCCACCGCCCCGCCCCAGGAATGAACTCGGCTACCCCCGCGCGAAGCACATGGCCTCCAGGAAAGGCTGGCCGCAGCGGAGGAGGGCGGAACTCCGCTGCATCCGCTCTGAGCTCGTTGGTCTGCCTGCCAGCCTTGGATACAAGGAAACAGTCTAATACAGCCGATTGCCACACGCAGCCGCCACTGAGGGCGCGTGGCGGGCAATCGCCCTGGCCTTCCAGCAACTTGCACACCACGGGAATGAAAGAATGCCCCTCGCTGTGCTCAGGACCGACACCTCCAAGGCGGGGGCCTTTCTGCGCATGGCGCCACTCTGAGAGCGGCGCATCTGCGCTGGGGCACTGCTTGGCGTGCAAGGCCACGTTCCGGATGAGCTTCTGCGTCCCCTCCACCGTGAGGCCGGCCACCTCCGCCGCCAGCACGGGCCTCGCGAGGGCCTCTCGCCGAGAGACCTCTGAGTCGGCACCGAGGGCGTTGATGAGGGCAGCCTGCAGCTCCCGTGCACGTTAGAGTTCGACTCGAACCCCGATGAGTTCTGCAGTGAGCTTCTGAATCAAATTGTCGGCAGAAGCGCGCGCCCCTGCCTTGCCTCTCAGCGCCAGATACTCGCCAAGCGCCGCAGAGGCTCCCGCAGCCACCATGCTCGCACACCCGACCGCCCCGCCTGGGGGGTTCGAGCCAGCTTGAGCCAAAATGACTACGATTATTTTTTCGCCACCCTCCCCCTTTTCTTTCTCCTCCTCCTTCTCCTCCTCCTCCTCCTCCTCCTCCTCCTCCCCTCTTTCTGCCCCCCCATCGCCCAATGGACCTTAGGAACGGTTTACGACCTTCCAGAGAAGATTGATGCCATGACACAGACGTCAAGAGCACTGGCGGTGTTGGCGGACGCTTGTTGCAAAGGCGTCCGCGGCGTGAATACGTTTGTCATGTTGAATGGTCTGCTATGACAGATGTGGGCGGGAGTAAGGATGGAGCGAGGACATGAGTGGGTAGAGAAGGGTGTGTCCTCCCTCCGTGCACCTTCTTTGTTCTCCTCGTCCTTTCGTCCTGGTTGACCTTCGGAGAAGTAGCCCATAGGGGGCACACAATATGCCCAACATGTGGCACGGCTGCCGCACGCGAGAGTTGCGCGGGTAATCGGACCGTGCAGTTCTACAACATCCCGATCGCCAACATCGACGCCATTTTCAAGGCGTACAACGAGATTGCCGACAAGCAGGCACGGTCTTTGATGTAAAGATCGGTGAACGGTTCTTCAGCATCCTTTCGAAGGACGAGGAGAGGAGAACGATGCGGAGGAGGAGGAGGAGGAGGAGGAGGCAGAGGAAGAGGAAGTGGGGGGGAGTAATAGAAGGCACAGTAGTGTCAATAATGCCGTATTGTCGGTGCGTGTTCATGTAGTGTACGTGTTGGTTACGACTTACCCGCTCCTCGAGTTCACATTGGTTTCAACAAAGTCTGTTTCATTGTGTGTGCACCTACATGTTTCCTTTTTATGTTTCTGAGGAGGAGTCAGAGAAGGAAGATGATGACGAGGAGCAGGAAGAGGAGGAGGAGGAGGAGGAGGAGGAGGAGGACGAGGATCAAGTGTACGGATTACGATGAAGCAAGTTTTCCAATCATACGCTTCGCCAGCTGTACTACTCAACGAGGCTAGTTGTCCAGTGACGCTTTGGCTTTTAATAATACGTCCTATCATGAAACACATCCGTCTGGTAAGAGGCCCCTTTCCCCCCCCCCCTTCGCCCTCTCCACCCACTACCCTGTCCCTGCCGTTCTCCCCCCCCTTCCCTTCAACCTGCGTCTTTTGAGGCCTTACTCTGGACCGAGCCCTACCCGGCCCCAGCTGGCCTTGGGCACCTTATTTGTTAAATAATACCATTCGGGCCAAATGCTATGATTTCCCTGTCAACCCTGTCAACTGATAGCAATCGGGCCCCAACCCTGTCAACTGATAGCATTCGGGCCCCATGCGATCGCTTTCATCGAACCTGTCGCCCCCTTCCCCTTACCCCTCTCTCCCCTCTCTTCCTTCCCCGCTCCCCGTTCCCGTTATCCTTTCCTCCCCCTCTCCTCCTTTTCCCCTTTCCCCCTCCTCCCTTACCCCCTCCACTCTTTCTCTTCGCCTCCCCCTTTCCCGCTCCCTGGTCTCCTTGCCCCCATTCCCATTTCACCACTAATTATCCGTCCTTGTTTCTTCCATCCTTTATCCTTTCGTGCCTGCTCGTTCCTGCTCCGTTCCCCTTAACCATTCCATCCCCCCGCTCCCCCTCTTCCACTCCACCTGCGTCCTTCCGCCCGCTCCTTCCCCTTTCTGTCCTCCTCCCTCTCCCTCTTCCATCTCCTCCAGTTCCGCTGCTCCACTGTCCCTTCCCCCTCCCCTTCGCGTGTTTCTTTTCCGCTTCTCCCCCCTCTGTAACCTTTTCCCCTCCTCTCCTGCCACGTCCGAGACCAGTTCTTTATTGTTTGCGGCATGACGGGCGTCATGGCCCCCGGCTCCCCCCCCCCCTTATGACGTGACGCTCCCCCCCCCAGTGCGCTCCGGGCACTGCCGCCGTGCGTATTGGGATCCGCGTAGGTGTCCGCGCAGGAATCCGCATAGGAGTTTGGTCCGCAGTCGTCGTCGTCGTCGACGTCGTCGTCGTCGTCGCTCGTGGCTCGTCGCTCGTCGCTCGTCGCTCATCGTCGTCGTGCGCACGGACGCGGCTGGAGCCTGTTTTTTTATTCCGGGCCGATGACGGCAATCATCTGGGGGTGGTGGAGGGGGTCGATGACGTCACGCTTCGCGCCGGCGGCGCCTGGGAATGCTTAGGCATGACGGAGGACGGGTGGCAACAGCATGTAGGTGGCGATCTGCACCACAACGCCGGTGTACACTTCAGTGTCTTCGTGCACCACAGCGCCTGTGTACACTACACCGCCTATGTACACCACAGCAGCCGCGTGCAACACAGCGTCAGTTTGTGCCACCGCGCGCGCGGGCACAACAGCTCTTGGGTACACCACAGCGCCTGCGTACACCACATCAGCCGTGTGCAACACAGCAGTATACACAACAATGCCTGCGTGCATTGCAGTGCCTGTGTACACCACGGCGCTTGTGTGCACCACAGCAACCGTGTGCAACACAGCACCACTGTTGTATGTAGAATGTTAGAAAGAAGCATTATGACAAAATGGAGCGTTTGTGGATTCCACCGAAAACACCTGAAAATCATCCTTATGGACAAGGGGACGACAGGGGAATCTACGAGTCCTTCCGAGTTCGCCCGCATCACCGTAACTCTTCCCATCTGCGACCAGGAAGCTCCAGCTAAATTGGCCGTCCGAGAACCAGGTGGGCCGATTCAATAAACCATTCTGCGGTGCACGCTGAGTTGCGCACGTGTGCTGTAGCGCTAACCCGCACGACAGGAGGTAGAGGAGGAGGAGGAGGAAGAAGAGAAAAAGGAGGAGGAGGAGATGGAACTGGATGGGAGGAGAAAGGAAGAGGGGAAAACGTCGCATTCGATTATCAGCACTTTCCTGGCGTGGCGCTTCCGCAGCAGACCCTCACGTACAGGCTCTTTCTACATGTCCTATGCACGCAGGCGCTGTGGTGTACAATAACGCTGCGTTGCACGCAGATGCTTTGGTGTAGACAGGCGATGTGGCGTGCACAGGCGCCGCGGTGCACGCAAGCATTGTGGAGTACACAGGCGCTGTGTTGCACATGGTTGCCTCCGGTGTGCACATGTACACCGGCGCCGTACTGTACGCAAGCACTGCAGTGTACACAGGCGCTGCGTTGCACACGGTTATTGCGATGTACGCAGGCGCTGTGGTGTACACGCGCGCTGTGGTGCACGCGAGCGTTGTGGTGTACACAGGCGCAGGGGGGCAGATCGCCACCTGCAGGCTGCTCGCGTCGTCGTCGTCGTCGCTTGTCGCTCGTCGCGTCGTGCCCGCGGGCGCGGCTGTGGTGCCGGAGCCACACGGCGGGGGGGGCGGGCGTTATATCATACCCCCCCCCCGCCCCCCCACCTCATGACGCCCGTCATCCCCGAACATAAAGAAACGCTCTCTTCCCTCGCAGCTTCTCCCCGAGTATCTCTGTCCCCATCGCCTCCGTCCCCCCGTCACCCTCGCCCTCGCCTCCCCTCCCCATCCCCACTCTCCTCCCCTCCCGCTGTGCTCCGCCCACCTCTCACCCGCCTCGCCTCCCCGCGCTTCCAATTTCTCCTCCTCTCCCCCCCCCCCTTTTCGCCTCGCCTCCTCTCCTGCCGTTCCGCTCCCCCTTCCGCTGCCCCCTCCCCCCCCCATTGCTCCCTCCCCTCCTCCGCTCCCCCCCCCCCACTCCTCCTCCTCCTCCTCCTCCTCCTCCTCCTCCTCCTCCTCCTCCTCCTCCTCCTCCTCCTCCTCCTCCTCCTTCGTCCTTCGTCCTTCGTCCTTCACGTCCGCCGCCCCCCTGGCCCAGACCAAAGACCCTGAGAACGGCCCCTACGAGGCCTACGGCGGCGGCAAGCGCCCGCCCCAGCAGATGGCGGCGCCCGTCGATGGTGGAGAAGCGGATTCAGCGAGGAGAGTGAACGGCATGTGGAGGAGGATCAGGACGGGTTGGATGAGGAGGAGAGGCGTTTAAAGGTAAGGGGGAGGTGAGAGGAGGAGGAGGAGGAGGAGGATGAAAGGGAGGAGGAGGAGGAGGAGGAGGAGGAGGACCAGTGTAAACCCAAGACCCATCCAAGCTCCCTTCCATAGGTCCCTACAAGGGTTCATGTCCATTATGGGAAGTGTCCTTCCATGAGACAACCGTTGGAAGATCCTGAAGCGTGCCGAAACACCATTCTCGGATTTTCAATGCCACGGATCAACCTGACTGTCTGTTGCGTCTTATCGTTCCCAAATCGCACTAGAACAACATGATTGGGACTTCAACGTTGCGAATACACGTAACTGTTACGCCCTGAACATCCTGAATCGTTCCAGAGATCATGCTCTGGCACGTTAACCATTCGAATCAAAGAAACTGCCTGTAACTTCTTAAGACGAATGTGCGCGGCACTAAGGTGCGAGCAACATGTCGAAAAGAAGCCGCGCTCAATCCGTGAAGTTGTTGCACATGATTAAAGCGAATGAGCGCGGCGGATTGGCGATAGCCACATTTTGAAAACGGCCGGCCCTCCTTCCGCGAAGCTCTTCTAAGCGTTTAAGACGAATGTGCGCGGCGCTAAGGCGAGAGCCACATTGTGAAAACCACCCGCTCTCCTTCCGTGAAAGTGTTTCAAGATGTAAGTTTTAGGATCAGAGATGATGAGGAAGTTTCAGGCGAAACGCCGGGCCCACCTTTCCGAGTGGCCTCGGGGTGCGACAGGGAGAACGGAACCGAATGGATGAGGAGGAGGAGGAGGAGGAGGGGGAGGAGGAGGACAAGGAGGGGCAGCAGAAGGATGACTAGGAGCGTGAAGAGGTACACGACCGTGCCTACCACGTACGATTTGACGCGGCGGGCGACGTAGTGCTGATTGTCATCGCCAAAACCGCTTCGCCACCCGTCCTCGGTGCTCCGGGATAGCTCCCGCGCTCCTGTGCCTCCTTCCCTTGTCTCTGCCCCTTTCCCGCGTCTGGGACGACAGTAGTTATTGGCAGTGTTTCTTCCTTGCTGCGTCAGTTATAAGTTCAGATGGGTGGTCGACCGAGCCAGTGGGGCTGTCCACACAACGTGTTTGTTCGTTCTCCCCTCTCCTCCCTTTCCTCCTCTTCCCCCTCGTTGTCTTCCTCACGCCTCGCAGGCCGAGGTTTGGTAAGCACGCTGCTCACTCGGTCTGGTGCGATTAGATGAATGTCGTCGATGCTAGTGCGACTCACGTCTGGCTTTGGCGTGCTGTATTTTCTCCGTGGACGGAAGCTCCCGTTCGTATTTGCCTCGTTCTTGTTTCGCCTCATTGTGTTTCTTCTTCTCTCTCCCCCTACTGGATCAGCTGTTGCATCGTGGAGTCCCCTTCCCATCAATTGGGGAACTGACAGTTTTCATGTCGAGTTGAACGGAACAACCAATCACCCGCGCTGGTGTACAATGCCCCATCTGACGCGACGCGAGCCTGGTGTCGTACACCAGTCCAGTCCAGTCGAGGAAGAGGAAGAGGAGGCGGAAGATGGGTGAAGGGCAGAAGATGAGGTAATGATGGAGTCTTGATAGGGGGAGGGAGGAGGCATGGAGGGAGGGAATGGGGAGGGTGAAAGGAGAGGGGAGGTAAGAGGAATGAGAAGCAGGACGAAGAGAAGGAGGAGCAGGAGGAGGGAGGCCCCTCCCTGCGCGCTCTTCTCTGCTCCTAAACTGGCAATGGAGTTCCAAGGTCTTGGGATGAGTGGGGCAAGAAGTTCTTCCACAATCTTCCTATGGACATCAACGACTCCTTCCACGTTGCTATCGTGATAGGGGGGATGGGAGGTGCAGGGTGGATGGGGAAGGGGGGGCACAGGAGGGTGTGGAGGAAGATGGCAGGGGAAGAAGACATGGGGGCTCGGGAGGAGGATGTGATGGGAGGGTGGATGGGGAGGAGGAAGATTTGAGATGGTATGCGCCCAGATGCCGCATCGAATCCTCCTTGGAGCCTTCTCTGGATCTTTCCCTCCCTGCACTGGCGAATCACCGGGAGGCTGGACCTCGGGGCTCCTGCGGAGGACGGGGTGATCGAAGACGCGCAGCCCGCCCTGGACCGGTCTCGGGCCGTCCTGGGGCTATCTCAGGCCGGTCTTGAGCTGGCCTCCTCCTCCTCCTCCTCCTCCTCCTCCTCCTCCTCCTCCCTCCTCCTCCTCCTCCTCCTCCTCCTCCTCCTCCCTCCTCCTCCTCCTACTCCTCCTCCTCGTCTGCGGAGTGTCTCGGCGGAGCTTTGGGCCGTCCTGGGGCCCTGGGGGGGCGGGCTTCTGGGCTGCCAAGGCGCAGTCTGGGGCCGCCTGTAAAACGACGCGAAGATCGGGACAAAATCGGATCGGGACAACTCGAAATCTCTGAGAATCGGCGGGCTTGGAGGATGTATTGGGCGCCGCGACCGCTCCAGAGCGTTCCGGAACACTCTGAGAGCGCTCCGGAACGCTCTGGAGCGATTTATCCCGATCCTAGCCCTGTTTTACTGGGGGGGCGGGCTTCTGGGCTGCCAAGGCGCAGTCTGGGGCCGCCTGGGGGCTGTCCGCAGGCTAACCAGAGACCGCCTGGAGCCTCCCCGGGTGGCAAGGCCAACGCACTGAAGACATCATCTGTATAGCTCACGAGCTATGATACAGCAGTGATGAGCGCCGTAACACAGTGTACTCTCATGTCCGCTAGGTTGTGCGGACCCCATGCGTTGCCAAAATTTGCCCAACAAAGCCTAGGAAGCAGATCCTGGACGCTAGTGCACCCATGGTCAAACATTGGTCAGCAAGCGGTCGTTCCAACATCACAAGCTCCATATGCTTAGGAACCCTGGAGATGTGCGATCGAGTTTTGCGCCCCCTCCATTAGTCCTCGCCCACACGCCCAAAGCAGCGCACACCGAGGAAACTACCAACGAGGAGGAGGACGAGGAATAGAACGGGAACGACCGAAGCTGAGGGGTGGAGAGAACGAGCGACGACGAGGGATGAAACTTGAATGGGAAGCGGCAGGGAAATTCGTAAGGTGATCTTTTTTATAGTGTTTTGCCGATCGGCGCGGGCTCTCGCACCACCCCTTCCCCCCCCTCCCGATGGAGTGGATCTTGGCTGGTTTTTGGCGCCTGTTCTGAGCAGGTGGAGTCCTTCCCCCCCCCCCGGACGCACTGCTCCACACAGCCGCACTAAGAAGATGTCCGGAGCCAGACCCCCACCCCTTCCGCCCAATGTCGAAACGCCGAACAAGAAGACGCTCACAAGAGGAACGACGAGGTGGCAAGGAGAGGAGGAGGAGGCAGGGTTGATCAAGGAGCACAGGAAGGCACGGCGGTGGACCGACTGACGCAGGCCGAGGCTGGGCCGAAGGACACGAGGCTGGTAAGGCTTTGCGCCTGCGCGCTGTGATGTTGCGCCCACGAGTGTGGCAGAAATGCGCTTTCGCCCGTCAATCGTGAGCGGTTGCATGTCTCAAGATGGCACGGCGTTTATGGGAAATGTGTGAATCGGGTGCATTGGGTGCGCTACCGAACAGAGCCCCAGCGAGCCTTCCGTGTTGCGGGGTGGGCGGGGACGAGGGTGTTGGAACAGCAGAGGGTGGTTCTCACCGTCTTGAAAGTTAATCGGCGCTTCCTTGTGCAAAAACGAGCTTTGCGATCGAGGCAATTAACTCCGAGGTCAGGGCGGCCCAGACTGCCTTCACTTCTGGCCCCCAACAATTGACAGGCCCAGAGCGCTCCTATTGGAAAACACATCGAGCGTCAACTCGGGACAACCATGTGTGTAAACACAGAACACGAGACAGGCGGGCGCAACGAAAGACAGCATCAGGGGAAAGAGAGAGAGAGAGAGATAGGAACAAATAATGAGAGACGTATTCGTATGGCGTGGGGGGAGAGAGGGGCCAGTGAGAGAGGGAGGGGAGAGTAGACGGGGAAAGGAGGTGCTGGCAGCCAGCTCGGCTCACAAGAGCCCTGCGGGGGACGACACGTTAGCCCGCTGCATCGACGTGCTTGGACCCTCTGGCTGGACTGCCTCAGCCTGATGGGGGAGGAGGGTGGAGCGGAGGAGCGGCGTGTGGGGGGTGGTGAGGGGGATGGGGGAGACGGGCAGAGGCATGGGGGAGGGAGGTGGGGGATGGGGATTGGGATGGGAGAGGGGGTGCGTGCCTCAGCCTGAGGGGGGCTGGGGGAGATGGGAGGAAGAGGGGGGTCGCGTGCTGGCAGCCGGGGCGCCAGGCGCGGCGCCGCCGTCCTCCTGCCCGCGCGCGTGGGGGAGGGCGCGCGTCGTCCTCCTGCCGCGGCCGCTCCTCGCCCCCGTCCCCGATATATATATATATATTTATATATATATATATATTCATATATTCATGCATCCATCTATATATCTATATACATGTAGATGTGTATATATATATATATACATACATATATGTATGTATATGTAGATGTGTATGTGTACACATATCATACAACATATACCTATATGTGTTCCAAGCATCCCCTCTCCCTTCCTGCCCCGTCCCCCTCCCCTCCCTGCCGTGGTGTGGCGTCGTGTGCCTCGTGGGTCTCCGGCGATCACCCCCTCGGATCGGAGCCGCTCGCAGGTGACGCCCGTGATCCACTACTGCATGGGCGGCATGAGTATCAACGGCGACGGCGAGGCCCTGAAGGCCCGCGCCTGACCCACGGGCCGATCGACTTCCGGCACGATGCTGGCTCTGGTGAGGAGGGGGAGGAGGAGGAGGAGGAGGAGGAGGAGGAGGAGGAGGAGGAGGCGGAGGCGGAGGGGGAGAGGAGGAGGGGGAGGACGATGCTGGAGTGAGGAGAGGGGAGGAGGAGGAGGAGGAGGAGGAGGAGGAGGAGGAGGAGGAGGCGGAGGCGGAGGGGGAGAGGGAGGAGGGGGAGGAAGAGGAGAGAGGAGGAGGAGGTAGGAGGAGGAGGAGAGGGGAGGAGGAGGAGGGGGAGGGGAGGAGGAGGAGGAGGAGGAGGAGGAGGAGGAGGAGGAGGAGGCGGAGGGAGAGGGGGAGGGGGAGGAGGAGGAGGAAGAGGAGGAGGAGGAGGAGGAGGAGGAGGAGAGACGGAGGAGGAGGAGGAGGAGGAGGGAGGAGGAGGAGGAGGGGAGGAGGGAGGGGGAGGAGGAGATGATGGGAGGAGGAGGAGGAGGAGGAGGAGGAGGAGGAAGCAATGAGGAGGAGGAGGAGGAGGAGGAGGAGGACGAGGACGAGGAGGAGGGGGAGGAGGAGGAGGAGGAGGAGGAGGAGGAGGAGGAGGAGGAGGAGGAGGAGGAGACAGGAGGGGCAGGGGGAGGAGACGGATGGTGGAGGAAGAAGCAGGGGAGGAGAAGGAGGCAGAGAGGAGCAGGAGAGAGGAGGAGCAGAGGGGGGAGGAGGTGGAGGTCGAGGAGGAGGAGGAGGAGGAGGAGGAGGAAGAGGAGGAGGAGGAGGAGGAGGAGGAGGAGGAGGAGGAGGAGGAGGAGGAGGAGGAGGGAAAGAGGAGGGGAGGCGAGGAGGAGAAGGAGGAGGAGGAGGAGGAGGAGGAGGAGGAGGAGGTAGAGGCGGAGGAGGAGGAGGAGGAAGAGGAGGAGGAGGAGGCAGAGGAGGAGGAGGAGGAGGAGGAGGAGGAGGAGTAAGAAGACGCAGAAGAAGAAGAAGAAGAAGACATCCAGGACCCCTCGGGCACAGCAGTGAGCTAAGCCTGGGTCCCAGCCGAGGGGGGCTTCTCATAATGCTGCCGCATGAGCTCGCGCGGACCGCCGTAGACGTCAAGGAGCGTGGTTAGAGACACCGGGCGCCAACCTCAGAGGGTGGTTGCAAGGAGTGCTGGGGGTTGGAGGTGCCGTCACTAGAAGCGATCATGAAGTCAAACATCTGGAGCACTGGCAGGAGGGGCACGGGGTTTTCCCACAGAGAGAGAGAGAGAGGAGGTGACGGTCCTACTGGGGGGGGCCCAGGTGTGGGCACAGCTTCCGAGGATGCCCGCGGATATGGCGTTGAATCGCACCAGATTGGGGCCGCGGGCAGTACGAGAAGTCTCCAGGCCGCCGCGAGCCCGCTCTGCGCCACATGGCAGCGACCTGCTGCTCAGCCTCAGCACTGCCCCCTCGCCCCAGCATCGCTGCGTCTGCGGGCGGCTCGGCCGGGGCTCTTAAGAGCCTGGGTGCGCAGCTCCCTTCGTATGGGGAGGAGCAGGGGGAAGCCCTAGGCGATTCCACCCGCGCACATGCAGCAGAAGCAGCTCTTCCCTCGCTCTGCTGTGGTACGGCTCACGGCTGAGGGTTGGCAGACCTACGGGAATGCGATCCGCGCACATTCCCGCGCCCCCGCTTCCACGGCAGGCCTTCCGCGCGACAGAGCGGGCGACTCGCGGGCGGCACGACCGCACGACCACGGCTGGCGGCATCCCGAGGCGCACGGACGCGAGGCTCACGATCAGCGCCGCCCCGCGATCACAGGACCGAGAAGGAGGAGGAGGAGGAGGAGGAGGAGGAGGAGGAGGGCAGGAGGAGGAGAGGAGGAAGAGGAGGAGGAGGAGGAGGAGGAGGAGGAGGAGAAGGAGGAAGAGGAGGAGGAGGAGGAGGAGGAGGAGGAGGAGGAGGAGAGAGGAGGAGGAGGAGGAGGAGGAGGAGGAGGGAGAAGGAGGAGGAGGAGCAGGAGGGGCAGGGGGAGGAGACGGATGTGGTGGAGAGGAGGAAGAGGAGGAGGAGGAGGAGGAGGAGGAGGAGGAGGGAGAGGAGGAGGAGGAGGAGGAGGAGGAGGAGGAGGAGGAGAGGGAGGAGGAGGAGAGGAGGAGGAGGAAGAGGAGGAAGTGGAGGAGAAGGAGGAGGAGGAGGAGGAGGAGGAGGTGGAGGAGGAGAGGAGGAGGAGGAGGAGGAGGAGAAGGAAGAGGGAGGAGGAGGAGGAGGAGGAGGAGGAGGAGGAGGAGGAGGAGGAGGAGGAGGAGGAGGAGGAGGAGGAGGAGGAGGAGGAGGAGGAGGAGGGAGGAGGGGGAGGAGGAGGAGGAGGAGGACGACGACGACGACGAGGAGCAGGGGGAGGAGGAGGAAGAGGAGGAGGGGGAGGAGGAGCAGGAGAAGGAGGAGGAGGCCCAAGGCGCGCTGCGCCGCACCTGCCGTCACGAGGGGCCCCCGAGCATACTTGGCGAGAAGGGCCATGTCGGCGACCGGTGGCCGGGGGAATTGCTGGACGTGGCTGCCGGGGCAGGGGGCGTGAAGCACGGCGCGGAGGCAGCAGCGCAGCCGCCCCCCCGGAGCCGGGCGTGCCGGGACACCGATGCAGTTGGAGGCCTTGTGCTGGTCACCGTGCTGCTCGGATTCGGCGGATCGGCGGCGCAGGACATGGTGGCGCGGGGAGGGAGGACGATGGGGCCACAGGAGGACATGGTTCAGGCGATCGCAGACATGGATCAAGGGGGCGTGGATTAGCGACGGGTCCCGTTTCCACTGGGGATCGCGGATTTTCGCCGCCGAGCGAGGCAGCACCGGCCGCATTTGGGAGAGGGCGCCTCCCCCGATCCATGGGTTAGGCGACCGCGCGCCAAGTCCATGGATCGCTACACGCCGGTCGTTGAAAGTAGGTATTTTTGGACTCAGATCCCAATCTGCCACAAGCGCCCTCCCACTTCAAGAATCGACACACTCTTGCTGCGCTCTGCTGTTCCCTGGGGGGCCTGGACCCAATCCACCGAATCCGCCCTCCTGCTTCCTGTTTTTGCCTACTCCTTCCGACCGTTACCAACCTGGAACATGTCCCTATCCCTATGCTGGGCATCTCCTCATCACGATGCCAATCTTAGGGATTGTCGTGTTTTTTGAGGGCGCATCCCTAAGATTGTCATCGCCTTTTGGCGTGTCAATCTTAGGGATAGGGATAAGCTCGAGGCTGGTAAGACCGACGTGTGGTCCGGGTCTGCGCGTCCCCGAGCGGTGGCGCGGGGGGGGGGGCGAGGCGGGCCACGGCTCCAGCCTGGCCGCAGGGCGCGGGGGGGGGCTCCGCGCGTCGGTGCCCGCCCGCTCGGTGCTGCGGGGGTGCTCGAGGCGAGACTGGGCAGCGAGAGGAGGGGGGGGGGAGAGAGAGAGAGAGAGAGAGAGAGAGAGAGCGAGAGAGAGAGAGAGAAAGAGAGAGAGAGAGAGAGAGAAAAAAAAAAAAAGAAAAAAAAAAGGAGAGAGAGAGAGAGAGAGAGCGAGAGAGAGAGCGAGAACAAAAAACATGGAGAGAGATTGATCGGCAGGCATGGGAGAGCAGCGGAGGGTGGAGGGGGAGGGGCTTGGGGGAGGGGTTTGGGCGAAGGGGAGGGGAAGATGGGAGGAGGGGAACTAGAGAAGTGGGGCGGGAGAGGAGAGACGGGAGAGGTGGGTCGGAGCGGAGATGACTGGGGAATTGTGAGGTGCCTCCCCCTCCTTCCCCCTCCTCCCTCTAACCATCGGCTCCCGACTCGGAACTGACCCCCCCTCCAAGGAGGGTGGCGGTTAGGCTAGAAAGATCGATTCTACACGCCTCCCCGTCCGCCTCCGCCCATTCTTATTCCTCCCCGCCTCCTGTAGTATTGCACATGTTGAGAAGTTTGATCCGCTCTCCCCTGACTCTATGCGGAAGATGTTCGGCCCTCTCCGCGTATTGGTGTTTCACCGAAGAAATTCAAACGCGTTTTTGTGTGCACAATTTGTTTGTTCAATCCGATTGATTCCGGTTTTTTTTAATGGCGTTCCCGCTATAGCGAGGGCTTCATTTCGGGATCGGCGCCGTGCTCCCGTCGTTCAGAATGGCGTTCTCGCCCTAGCGCCGGCCATTGTTCTGGATCCGAGTCCGTATTCATCGTTGTCGCTCCCCTCATTTCTCATTCTCTGCTTGCCCCTGGTCCTGCTGCTCTTCCCACTCCTTCCACTCCAGTTCCTGCCGCTGCTGTCTGTCCTCCTCGTTCCTCCTCCTTTTCCTCTGCTGATCCTCGTGCTCACCCGCCATCGTCTTCTCCTATGCTTGCAGCTCCCATTTTCCGACCGCGCATAACACGATGGGGCAGTTGTTAGATCTCCAGGTCGGCTATAACACGCGTCCGCGTATAGAGAAAAATCGGCTCAACGGGAAGGGATGGGACGGATGGGGTAAGATTTCATCCTCCTTCCTTCCCTCCTTCCTCCCCGCCTTCTATCTCCTGGAAGCTGACCAAGGACATGATCCAAACGCTGAGGCGCACTCAGCGACGGATACTACGACTCATTGTGAAGACCCCGCGACATCGAGCAGACCGGAATGGCGCCACCATGGACAGCGCCGACAGCTCCGACGCAGAGACGCACGCAGACGACGGAAGCACCATAGACACTGTTCTCAACGACGACAGATGACACATCGACGGCGGTGACCTCGACCCTGGCCTGGAGAATTGATCCGCAGAGCTGCACACGGCAACAGGCCTGGCAGAAAGGGCCCGCGTCGATGAGCGGACGACGGTTTGCGTTCGACAGAGACCTGCAGTGGGCAGGCCGAGCCCCCCAAGTCAGCCGCACAAAGGGTGTGCCCGATGTGCTGCAGCGCGGGGGCCAGGGCATCCACGACCACAGACAAGCAGTCCCGGGGCTGCAGAGGGTCGGGGGTGGACAGACCTCCTGCCCTGACACGTCGATCAGAGAATTGGCCGTTTTCGGTTCGCGAGAGGGCGTCGCGGCCGTCATTTCTGCGGGTCCAGGTCCGTCGGCTTCGGTCCCAGGCCGTTTTCACTAAGGGGAGCTTTACTAAAGGGAAGTTTGTCCACCGCCGAGAGGAGGCGGCGGGAAGACGGTGCCACGCAATGCCTGGCAGCAAGCACGCCTCTCAGACCAAGCAGTGGATTGTGGCTTGCGCTGGCACGAGACAGCACCCAGTGGAGCAGTCTTCACCGAGCGCGTTCCACTGCTCGCAAAGTGCCTACTCGCAAGCGTTCAAAGGAACCCGGCGCGACTCCAATTTGGGGAAAGCTTCCTGTTGCACAGGCGCAGTGTTTGGCATGGCTTCGCATTGCCTGGCATTGCTTGGCACTGCTTGGCATGAGGGACCCAAGGAACCCGGGGAGCCTCCGAGCAACGGGCAACGTACCATTGGTAGCTCCCAATGTTGAACCAAGGACCACCTTAGGCAAGCCTGACTCGGGGAAAAAAAAACCTGCCTCGATTAGGGGAACAAAAAGTGGCATAAACATAAAAACTCGGAGGTCCGCGCGGATTTCTCGGATCGGCGCTGGACCCCCCTCCCTGGCGCGCGGAGCGCGCCAGGGGCGGCGCCGGAGACGGCGCCGGGGGGCCCCAGCGCCGATCCGAGAAGTCCGCGCGGACCTCCGAGTTGTTATGTGTAAGCCACTTTTTGCTCCCCTATGGATGCAGTGGAACACTTGCTTGCCTCGAGGCCACGGCTCGACGCCCCTCGCGAGCAGTGGAGAATGCGCTCGCCGAAGCCTCGAACGCGCGCTCCCACGCCACGCGCAGCGCACCACTCACGGCGGAGGGCCCCGGCCCGGCCCGCGCCAGCCTTCTCCAGGCCCCGCCCCCCGACGGATGGAGGCGCGCTCCGCTCCGCCCCTCCTCCAGCTCCTCTCGTCCTTCCTGTGCGGCCTCCTCCTCCCGCCAGGGGCGGCGCCGGAGGCGCCGCCGGGGGGCCCCAGCGCCGATCCGACAAATCCGCGCGGACCTCCGAGTTTTTATGTTTATGTCATTGTTTGTTCCCCTATTCCTCCTCCCTCCCTGCCTCCCTTCTCCTCCTCTCCTCCCTCCTCCTCCTCTCCCCTCCTCTCCTCCTCCTCCTCCTCTTCCTCCTCCTCACTTCCTCCTCCTCCTCCTTCCCTTCCTCTCCTCATCCTCCTCCTCCTCCTCCTCCTCCTCCTCTCCCTCCTGTTTCCTCCTGTCCTCCTCCTCCTCCTCCTCCTCTCCCTTCCTGTTTCCTCCTCCTCCTGCTCCTCCTCCTCCTCCTCCTCCTCCTCCTCCTCCTCCTCCTCCTCCTCCCCCTCCTGCTTCCTCCTCCCTCCCTTCCTGCCTCCTCCCTCCTTTTCATCCCGGCGGCCAGGCGGACGGCTCCGTCCTCGGAGGCCTGTACAGCGCCGGCGAGGCGGCGGGCGGCATCCACGGCAATAACCGTCCCGCGGGGCGTTCGCCAAGCCCGGAGCGCAGCGGGAGCGGGGCAGCAGAGAGCGGGGAGGCGGGAAGGGGTGGCAGGGGGGGGGGAGGAGGTGGAGAAGGGAGGACGAGGAAGTGGGTGGGGGAGGGAGGGGGGGATGCAGGGAGGAGGAGGAGCAGGAGGAGGAGGAGGAGGAGGGAGAAAGGAGGAGGGAGGGGCAGGGGGGAGGAGGGGGGAGGAGGGAGAAGAGGGGAGAAAGAGGGCGGAGGAGGAGAAGACAGAGTGTGAGGAGGAATGGAAGGATGAGAAGGAGGGAAAAGGAGACAGTGATTATGATTGATGCTGATGTTGTTGCTGATGATGATGATGATGATGATGATGATGATGATGATGCTGATGATGAGAATGATGATGGTGGTGGTGGTGGTGACGATGATGGGACTGCGAAAATTAATAGTAATACTAACAGTGAGTGATGATAATAACAATAATGATAATAATAATGGTGATGATGATGATGATGATGATGATGAGTTTGATGATGATGATGATGATGATGATGATGATGATGATGATGATGATGACAGTTATGGTGGTGATGACGTTGATGATGATGATGATGATGATGATGATGATGATGATGATGATGATGATGATGATGATGATGGTAACGATGATGATGATGTTGAAGATGGTGTCTGTGTGATGATGATGACGACGCTGACGGTGATGATGACGATGCCGATGATGTCGATGATCATGCGATGTTGAGGAGGACGCAAGCTATGAATGCGGAGAGGACGATGCGGATGTTCATGGTGATGAAGATGATGATTATGCGATGACGACGTCGTCGCCGACGATAATGATGATGGCCATATTGATAGTAACATCGGCCACAGTGATGGTGCTGATGTGGAGTCAGAACGTCAATCCTAATGCTTCAACATCGCGCATCAACGTGACTCGTGCGACCTGGCAATCCCAAAACATCATTCCTGGAACTTCCACATTACTAGACCTTGAGACAGGTATGACCTGTTAGACGAAAGTGCGCGGCGCTAAGGCGACAGGTACATGTTGAAACGGAACACCCCTGCATCCTTGAATTTGCTGCAAACGTTTAAGGCGAACGTGCGCGGCGCTAAGGCGAGAGACACATGTTGAAAACCGCCCGCCCTCCATCTTTGAAGGTGCTGCACAATTTAAGACGAATGTTCGCGGCGCTAAGGCGAGAGCCACATGTTGCAAACATCCCGCCCTCCATCCGCGAAACATGTTGCACAATGTTAAGACGAATATACGCAGCGCTTAGGCGAGAGCCACATTCCAAAATTTAGCCGCCCTCGATCCGTGAAACTGTTGCGATTTCGACCGTTATTGTCATACATGGTGAGGAAGGCTCAAGCGAAACGCCCGGCCCGCCCTACCGGGGAGCGACAGGGAGAGGTTCTTGGTCAGGGGAAGGGATGGAGGATGACGAGGAGGAAGGATGAAGAAGGAGGAGGAGGCGGAGGAGGAGAAGGAGGATGGATGAGGAAGAGGCGGATGAACAAGCTCGCGTGCGAGGATAAGGAGGCGAGCGAGGACGAGAAGGACGCGGAAGCGGGGCAGAGGGTGGAGGCAGGCGAGGACGGGACGAGGAGGTGGGACGAAGAGGAGCAGGAGGAGGAGAAGAAGGAGGAGGAGGAGGTGGGAGGAGGAGGAGGAGGAGGAGGTGGTGGAGGAGGAGGAGGCTCTGCGAACGTCGCCGGCCTCCGCCAGAGCAGCGTGACTCGCAGCTTCTGCCAGGCGCCGGCGGGCCGGAGCTCTTGAGCTATTCTCGTTGGATCGACAGGCCAGGGTAAAACGACGCGAAATCTCTGAGAATCGGTGGGTTTGGAGGATGTATTGGGCGCCGCGGCCGCTCCAGAGCGTTCCGGAACGCTCTGAGAGCGCTCCGGAACGCTCTGGAGCGATTTATCCCGATCCTAGCCCTGTTTTACAGGGGCGCGTGCCTCAGCGCCCGGCGCCCCAGGTCTCGGTGGCAACTCCCTCTTGGACTGCGTGGTGTACGGGCGCGTCTCCGGCCGAGCCGCCGCGCGCTACCTCAGCGCGGCGAACATCAAGTACATCGACTCGGCGAAGCCTGGGGCCTGGAAGGAAAGGGGCGAGGGGCTCAGGCGAGGGAGGACGAGCCAGTGGAGTGAAGGGGGGGTGCAGGTAGAGGGAGCAGTGGGAGATGGAGTGCGTCCGGGTGGCCAGGAGGGACGGAAAAGGTGAGGAGGAGGAGGAGGAGGGTCATCGGAGGTGGACGCACTGGGAGGGGGGGGGGGGGAAACAGGGACAGGGACACGGACAGGGGAAGGGGGGAGGGAGTGGGGGTGATGGGGGAGAGCAGCGAGACACGCTGACAGCGATGGGGGGGACAGCAGACGATGGGGCGCGCAGGCGCGGAGGCGGAGGGCCCGCCGCCCGCCGTAGGTGAAGGCCGGGACTGCCGCCGCCGCCAAGCTCTGAGCCCGCCCGCGGCCAGAAGTCGGGCCGCCAGGGGCGCCGTGCCCTACAGCCATTGGAGGGGCTGCCGCCGACGTCCGCGGAGTATTGCGGAAGAGGAGGAGGAGGAGGAGGAGGAGGAGGAGGAGGAGGAGGAGGAGGACCAGTGTAAACCCAAGACTCATCAACGATGTTGGAATACACCCACCCTCTACGATCCCTCTGTCATAGGCCCCTACAGGTATTCACTTGCACTGGGGGAGGTGCCATGTTGGGAGACAACCGTGCGAAGTCCCTGAAGCGCTCCACAACACCATACTCAGGTCGTCAACACCACGAGTCAACCTGACTGATGCGTCTTGGCGGTCCTGAATCGCGCTAGAACGCCATTCCTGGGATTTCAACACCGCGAATCAACGTGACTGTTACGCCCTGGCAACCCTGAACCGCTCGAAACGAAATTTTGGGAACGTTAACGAAAATAATCCGCGACGCTCTTGCAATTGTTAAGAAAGACGGTGCCCAGCGCGAAGGCGAGAGCCACAGTATGAAAAGGAAGCGCCCTCGATCCGTGAAACTCTTGCAAATGTTTAAATCGACTGTGCGCGGCGCGAAGGCGAGAGCCACATATTGTAAACGAGCCGCCCTCACAGCGCGAAGCTCATGCAAGCGTTTAAAGCGAATGCGCGCGGTGCTAAAGCGCGAGCCGCAGTTTGAAAACGAGCCGCCCTCAACCCGTGAAGCTCTTGCAATTTTAACAAATATACGCGGCGCTGAAGCGATAGTCACATGTTGGAAGTGGCCCGCCCTCTAGTTGTGAAACTGCTGCCATGTTATAAGCTTCAGGCTCACAAGTGGTGAGGAAGGCTCAGGCGAAACGTCCGGCCCGCCCTTCCGACTGGCCTCGGGGTGCTGCAGGAAGGAGTTCTTCATAAGGGAAAGGAATGGAGGAGGAGGCGGGATGAGGAGGAGGAGGAGGAGGAGGAGGAGTAGGAGGAGGAGGGGGAGGAGGAGGCGGAGGAGGAGCAGAAGACAAGGAGGAGGAGGAGGAGGCGCCGCTCCTCCGCCTCCTGGTCGTGTTGCTGCGGTTCGTCATCGTCCTCCCCCTCCTCCTCTTCCTCCTCCTCCTCCTCCTCCTCCTCCTCCTCCTCCTCCTCCTCCACGAGAGGTGCACCGAAGTTGGTTGGACTCGACCCACCTCGAGCTCCACCACAGCCCAGCCCAAGCGTAGAGCGTTCTCATCCAGTTGCCCGACTCGAGCACAATTTTGGTCCACGTTCAGGCCGAGATGGTTAAATATGATTGTGCTGTCGGCTGTCCGGCGGAACCAGTATCCAGCCGATCGGGGTGCACGGGTGGCTTCCACCTATGCCAGGCGTTCTCCCGGCGTGGGAGACGGCGGGTTTGAATTTTGAATGCTTGGCCCTCTTCGCTGGTCGTTGCGACTTCCCCTCCCCCCTCCCCCTGTCCCCCTGTCCCTCCCCCCCCTCCCCCTTCCCCTCTCCTTTCACCTCCCCTCCACTGGTTGGCCTCGAGGGGCGCCCCCCCCCGCAGATCGCAGCCGCCTATGTCGCTGCCCCCCGAAGCGCGAGCGAGCCGCTCGTTCGACCTCTACCTGGCCGGACCTCCTGGACCGTGCGTATTCAGCGCCGGCCCCGCCGAAACGGCGCTCCTCGCAGCTCCTCTCGCGTGCCACGGCGGAGCCTCAGCGGCCGGCCACTTCGCTCGAGGCTGCGGCCCCTCGCACCACGCCCCGACGGCCACGCTCGGCCCGCCCGGCGGGGCGCGCGCGGCTCTGGCGCTTGTCCCGCCCCGCCTCGCCTCGCCTCGCGGCCCCGCCCGCGTGCCATGGCAAGGGCCGCCGCCCTGCTGGCCGCGGCCTCCGACTCGTGCATCCCGTGCTCTTGTCGTTCCTGGTCCCTGGCGCGCAACCTCACCGAGGTGGCCTCGGGGGAGCTGCCTCGTGGGCCCCCGGCATTTCGCGAGGCGTTCCCGCTCCCGGCCCACGGGGTCCCGCTGCTGGTGTGCACCTACCTGGCCACGCGGAGTTTCGGCACCTGCCGGGCCCTGGGCACCCTGTCTTGGCCAGCCTGGGCCAGCCTCCAGGTGAGCGGGTCTCTGGTAGCGATGCCAGGCGGGTGACCTTGATGTCCGTGCTGCCCGTGGCGCCCATGACCCCTCCTCTCCTGACCCTTCTCCTGATCATCGAGAGCACCTCGCTGCCCACGCTGGGTTATGTAATGGCTTCGCTCATTTCGCTGGCCCATGTTGCCTCGCCGCTTGGGGGCCATGTTCAGGCCTCTTGGGGGGTTCTGGGAGGCAGTTTTGAGGCCTCTTGGGGGCCGTGTTGGGGCCTCTTGGGGGCCTCTTGGGGCTTCTTGAGGTGCCTCTTGGGGGCCCCTTGGGGCCTCCTGGGGGCCTCCTGGAGGCCTCCTGGAGGCCTCTTGGGGCTGAAGGCTGCACTTTTCGGTTCCTGGTCGCCGTCTTGGGCCTCTCTGAGGCCGTTTTGGGGCCCTCTTGGGCCAGTTTGGGCGCCTCTTGGGCTGTCTTGGGGCCATCTTGGGCCGTCTTGGGGCCCTCTTGGAGGCTTCTTGGGCCGTCTTGGGGCGTTCTTGGGTCGTCTTGGGCCGTCTTGGAGCGTTGGCAAGCCGAAAAGACGAGAACGCCAAAATCCTTCAAAAACCAATGGGAAATCGATGGTGTTTGCCTCTTGGGGGCCTCTTGAGACGCTTCGTCGAGGCCTCTGTGGGCATCTTGGGGGCGTCTGCGGCCGTCTGGAGGCTATCTTGGGCGTCTTGGACCGATCGGTCGGCGACTCGGAGCCCTCTTGGACCGTCTTGGGGATTCTTGGGGCACTCCAGGAGCACTCTGGGGCGCCTGAAAGCCGCGCCCAGAAGGGAAAAGCATCTCTGGGTCGGACTGGCCGGAGTACTTTTCGTCCGGGTGTCCCCAGGGGCCGCCACGCGCGCGCGCGAATTGGAAATATTGTGAATATGTTACCGGAGATCTGAGCACGCCTCTGGCCCTTTGGGCCGGCGAATTTCCTCAACCTGGTGAGCCTCCGCTTGACCACGGCGTGTGCCCGCGAGCTCCTTGTGCAGCAGGAGCCTTGCGGGCTTCGAGGCACTTTGTGGGCATCAGCGATTTTGCGCACCCTATCATCGCCACCCAGCCGCGACGTGAACCTGTCCGGGAGAGTGTTCCACGGTCGTGGGCGGCCAGCGCCGCAGTCACGCCGGCGCAGCTGACGTCACGGGCCTGTGTGCGGCTGGCGGCTAACGCCACTGCCCGCTGTACAGTGGCGAGCGCCTCATCCTACAGTGCACGCCTGTGTCAACACCGACGTTACAGCTCCATCGGCAACTTCACGGGCACCGTTGTCGCCCACGAAGGGCTTGACACGGTGTTAGCTTCCCAGGTCGTATCTCCGCCATGTTTGTCCACAGGCCTCGACTCCGAGACCGCGCCGCTTGCCTCAGAGGAGGCCCTGCGAGTCGCCGACCTGGCCTCACATTGGTTCCGGATGGTGGCCGCGTGGGCCGGCCGTCACTGGGGGAGGGCAGGCCACCGAGACCCACCATTCAAGCGAATAAATCTCAGGAGGGAAGGAAACACACAGACACAATTAATCGTCGACTCCCAGGAAAATATGGAAAAATATGGGAATTGGGGAGGAAAGACAAAAACCCCGAAAATATTGGAAAATGTGGGGAATCCTGTTATTTGTGTATCTATTTGTGTGTCCCAGAGCCCCTTCAAAATCGCTATAAATGATTCCACTTTGGCCAGCGCATAGTCGAAAGACCCCACTCGGGCGATCTATCTGCCGACTGACGCTTGTGTCCATGCGCCACGCGGACGCTGTCGTCCGTCTGCCGTCTGGCGCCCGTTGTCCCTGGCGCTCCCTCGATTGCCACAGGGTTCCCTCTGTCGTGGAGGCCGTTGCTGCGCCCTCGTCCGAAGTTCCTCTACGCTGGGCCACCGTACGGCGCCCTCACACTTTGCAGCTCTCCCACGTCCCTGCAGCCAGCTCCGACACGTCGTCTGTCCATTGTGTGTCTGATCGCGTGCCTCGTGCTCTATCGCAGCCCTTTTGGTATCCCCCAGGGAGAGCCTGTCTCGTGGTGCCCCGGGCGCGCGAAGCCACGCTGCACGCACGGCTCCGCGGCTCTCCCGCCCGTGTCTCTCGCCCGCGCAAGCGCTTTCGACCTCGTTCGGGCAGGCGTTCTGATCCCTGGGGAGATCCGGGTGGCTGCTCTCCTCCAGAGGAGGCGTGGGTGGTGTGGGTGGGCGGGCGGGCGGGGAGAGCAGTCGTCCACTCGCCCTTTCCCCTCGCTGGGACGGCAGCCTCGCAGCCCACGTTTCGCCGCGCTCCGCCTCGGCGTCCTCGCGCGGCAGGCCTCGTGCTGCTGCTGTCCTCGACACTCGCTTCTCAGCTGCCCACGCGCCAGGCGCCAAGCCTGGTCATCTTCCCTGGCACGTCCACGCGCTCGGGGGCCCTGGGGGGTCCCCCCCCCTTCACAGTAGCCTGCTCGTCACGCCCGACGCCCGCGACGCTCTCCTTCGGGCCTCCTGGGCGCGCGGCCCGCAAGTGTGCAGACGCTTCGGGCTCGCTTGCTCTCTCTGCTGGCCACGCCCCCCGTGGCCGAGCAACGTGCCGAACTGCCGGGCGCGAGGAGAAACCTCCTCCTCTTCCTGAATTACCCTCCTCCTCATCCTCCTCATCATCAACCTCAGCAGCAGCGGCGGCATCGTCGTCGTCATTAGCATCCTCTTCCTCATCAGCAGCATCATCATAATCAGCATCGTCATCATCGTCATCATCGATCGTAATCACCATCAGCAATAAGTATTATCAGCATCGTCAGCATTATCATCAGCAGCAGCATCAGCATCAGCAGCATCATCATCAGCAGCAGCATCATTGTCATCATCGTCGTCGCCGTCGTCGTCATAATCGTAGTCGTCATCATCATCATCGTCATCATCAGCATTATCATCGGCATCATCATCATCAGCATCGC